TGACCAGTAAAGAAAATATTGATGTCCTGATTCTTGAATGGTGTGGGAAGTGGGATTGACAGAACAGACAAGGATAGTGTTTCTCGCTTTCCACCCTTGGATGCAAGCGCATCCTTCATAAAAAATGATGCAGATGGTCATTAAAAATTGCTTTTTGATTTCTAAGTTCAGTTTCAACAGGATTTGTCTTGTTTGTCTATGTGTAGTTTGGTTTTATATTTGAAATACTGTGCATGACAGATTGACTTTGATATAACAGCCATTTTCTACTTCCATGGACATTTGTCATCATATTCTAAGGAGGATTGACAAGGTAAGATACACCCAATATTTGTGCACTGTGCCTAACGCCCTAACACTTACTGGTGGAAAAATATTTCAGAATTCAAAAGTTATAATGCATTTGTTTATAAGTTAAGGCTAAATGAAACATTTTATCTACAAGGAGACAGTAAGTTACAGCTGCAGAAATAAAATTTAATTAAGGACATGCTCACCTGTCAACTACCAACGATGTAGCACGTCCAGATGCAAAAGATGTGAGAACCTGACAACCAAATCAACAATTAGAACTAATAAACTAATTACACGAATTATCACTTTTGACAAATACATACTGCATTTTTCGCTAGGAACAGTGCCGGCACTTTGTACTTCTCAAACATAAGTTCTGCTGCTCTATGGAACATGAGAAAAACAGTCAGGTCTTTTTCATAGAACCATACAAAAATAATAGGCAATGAATAGATATAACTCGGATTCATATCATCTCAGCTTGTGCTTATTGGTATTTATAAGTTTTACAGGGTGATCAACAATTCCATATTTGTCCATTCCTGAAGTACAGAAACACAGAAAAACTAACATTTCTGACATTAAATGGAGAAGTAGAAAAGCATGCAGTAAATCCTGGTACCAATACAGTTCTCATGACTGATAAGAGTCATGGAAGATAAATGTGCTATAAATCAGCTAGTTCATATAACAAGCAATGTTTTTCAGGTTTGACGCAACTTAGCAACACAATTAATTTAAATACAGAACATATAGGCATACTTCTCTCTTTGCTGTCCTGTGTTTGTAGATGGTTCAGCTATCAACATAGGATGCTCCTCAGGATTGATCAATAGCCGCTGCCTGAAATGTAGAGCAAGTCAGTGTGAAGATAAAAGCTAACAAAGCAGAAACTTCAATAGTTGCATATCCACACCATATAGAGGAAATCCTAGTATTTAATCAATGTTAGCTAATAGAGATGCCACAGAATCCAATAAAAGTAAATAACCCAAGAAGGAAAGCCTTATCCAGTTTGTACACGTAAGAAGGAATTTCACTATCAGTATATTTGAAAAGCACAATATTAATATGTAAGGTAAAAAGATGGTGGGCAATGGCATAAAGCAGTAACCATGTTGACATCCAAAAGATGCCCTAGAGGCCTAGAAGATGAACTTTGTTGCAGATTCTAAGCAAACTATGTTAAATAGAGAGTATGGTTCATCCCAAACTTCCCCAGAATCAAGGAAGGCATGTTTGGCCTTTTGCAGCAACTGGCAAGTGTTTGGCAAACCACACAAGCAATGTGCCAAACCTTGTTACTCAAGTGCCCCGCATGTCAGATATTTATTTTCTAGTCAAGTTTTGCCACAAGTGTGGCCAGCTCTTTCAGCGCGCACTTTTGGCACGACATTACTCAGATCTACATCAAATAGATAGTTAAACTCACCTGAAAGCATGATTCCATATATTGTCAACAATATCCCAATCAGTAACTGTTCCATCTTTCATTGGTGAAATCACCTATTGGGTAGGAAGAGAATCAGTAAACAATAGTTAACAAAATCATGAGCATCAATATTGATACTTGAGAATCTGCATAAACTAACCTCCATATGATCCCTCCTGAACTCCAATTCTTGACCAACATACAATTTGCGCTTTGTCTTGGCTTTGTCCACATCCATAGGTTTGGCTCCATTCTTAGAATCTGATGCAGCTTCAGCCTCCTTGTCTGCCTTTGCTTCATCAGTTTCTCCCGTTTGCTCAATTGAACCAACAACCTTAACACAACAGAATGTGCACCAACCACAGTAAGAACTTCTAAAACCAAATTACCCATTAGGTAGCTCAGATGCATAATCCCATGAACCAATGACATATCTTGCAACTACTGCCACGTTATGTAGAAAAAGGAGAAGAAAATATGCTAATCTATTAGCAGCGACATCAAATAGTGAAACTCAAAAACACTTTTTCTGTGTGATTCACACACCACTTTTTAGTACCTTACAGCTGATTGTTTTGCTATATGTCACTAAATTATATGTTTTCTCACTTCCTCGGCAACAAAGAGAAATTAGCAATCTACTCCAAGAATTCAAATTACCCCAATATAAGTCTGTTAACTAAAGGAAGAAAAAAATTTTAAAAAATAATACTGTAGAACCTAAGACAAAAAAATACCGCATCCCAAAATATAGTAACTTCACCCCCTACTTCCTCATCTCAACCAATCAAAAAAATCATATCCCCCATTTAATTCCACCTACTTCCTTAATACCCGTGCAAAACTCTAGAAATACTTATATTTTGGGACAGAAAGAGTACAATCCTATTTGACATAATACACAAGAAAAGTACTTCCCGTTACAAACACAGTAACCAGAAGTTCACCTGTCATAGCATTTGAAGTTAACGTCTAGTACCAACATGTAGCAATTCCACAGAAACCACAATGCAGATTCTTTTAGCACTTTAAAAATTCAGTTTGGCATTTGACTCTCAGTGCACATATGCAACACTGCTAACTACTACCTATGCGAGCAATGGCACAGGTTTGCAGCTAAGACAAAGCTGAAAGGTAAACTAACAATGCAGTCAATACATCATAATTTTGCACGCATATGTCAAAATCAAAAGGTAAGTGCAGGTCTTATCTGTGGTACTATCCAATATCTGAGTTAGCCTGCTACTAACATTTTTTTTAAAAAAAAAACTGCTGTTATTCATGTTCCCAGACTAAGATCCAGTGCTCGAATAAAACCATTAATCAGGTGGCTGGGGACCTAGGAGGAACTAATGCACGCAGCAAAATTCACAGCTTGACCTAAATAATAAACATATGTCTGTATATCATGACGCCACACACTAACACATCATTCTTTTTTTTTTCAAATCAGAATTCAAAGTCAACGACCTAAAACAGCTCAAAATTATGGGGAGAAAACACACAAAATTGCCAGTGGGATTGCATTGCGCACAGAGCCCTATCATTTCCATGACACCACCCGCACGAACTCTCACCAACAAAACACAGACCACACAGTTCCAACTCCGAGACAGAATTACAGCGAGCCAACCCAGGAGGGGAGAAGAAGAAGAAGAAGAAGAAGCATTCTGCCTCACCGAGGGGAAGACGGCCTTGGGGGTGTCATCACCGGCGTACCCCGCCTTGCAGCTGTAGGACCCCACGTCGATGACGATGGCCGAGACCTCATCTGCGAAAAAAACCAAGCAGCGCCAGTGCCACAGATCTCTAGGGTTTAGGGTTTAGCTCGGGGATGGACGGGGGCGAGAGAGGGGGGAACTTACCGCCGCCGTACATGGCTGGGGAGATCCGGGTGGCCGCCGGCGAGGGGGATTCGGCGGCGGTGGTTCGTCGGCGGCGCGGAGGAGAGAGGTCGGCGGCGGCGGGGTCGGGGGGAGGAGACGACGGCCAAGTGAAAGGGAAGAGAGGAGGAGAGAAAATGAAGGATTTTTTTTTCTTGTACCGAAATTGCCCCCCGCGTCGGATCGTCTTAACTGGAGCTTATCCTAGCCGTCCGATACGGCCCTCAGACCTCAACCAATGTTCCCTCCGTTTCACAACCTTCATCACAGTTTTCTTTTCTTCTTTGAAACATAGTTAAAATGCATACGCCGACAACACGCACACAAACTACCTCTACGAGCACCTCTAGTAAACTGAGCTAGCAAATCTTGAGAATTGAGATTGATGAAATCACCACAGGTGCCTCGCTATCAACTGGTATGTCGCTTACCACTAAAAGAATGATTAGGCGTAAATACGAACACACATGTCACATTTAGGATTTGAACCCGAGTGTGCTGGTTTCATCACAAGGAACTTAACCAGTTGAGCTACGTTCATTCTAGATTTTCACTAAACTACAGTCTCCACCGTCCTAACAAAAATCAACTTCTGCATAAAAACAAGTACAATTTAGCTCTTTTTTATTTATCGTAATCTAAAAGTAAATTACACACGATACAACAACTTAGCGGGTAGGTGCAATATAGTGCAAGAACTCGAGAATTGAACGCTCGAGTGCAACAATTTGACAAGTGGTTGCGTTTTAGTACAAGAATAGCTAGGCATATGCTAGGTAAGTTTTTCTCACGATGTTAATATGTCATTACATAGCAATCCTATGGATATCACCTTATAATATTGAATTTAATCTTTTAAGAATTATACTGCACATCCAATTACCTTTAAGAATTTTTGTTTTCTTTATATCCAAATCCACGCTAGTATATTGTCAACATAAGTACTTAAAAATTGTATGTATAAAAAAATGCTCTCAATAATTAAACTGCCACATAACTTCTTAATTTATTTTATTAAAATCGTACATATCTTGCAAGTTGTTGCATTTATACGATCACTTATAAAGTTCTTATACTAAATTGCACCTACATGCCAAGTTGTTATACTAGAACGCTCATTTCTCAAGTTCTTACACTAAATTACACCCACCTGCCAAGCTGATGCACTGTGGGTGCAATTTACTCGTAATCTAATCATTAAAATGTTACCGATGGTCAAAATTAGAACAATAATGGTCAATACAAGCAAATACATAGAGGCATAGGGCATATAGGGTTTGTTTGGTTTACAGCCAAACTGAACCATTCTAGTAGGTTTTTTTTTTTTTTTTGATAGAAACCATTCTAGTAGTTGGCACTTGGCAATACCAAAAAATAAAAAGTGGCACCCATTTGTTTGAAGCCAAAATATTTGGCAACTCATTTATAACTATAGAAATTTGAGCTGGGCCAATCTTTGCCATGCAACTTTGGTAACAAAGCAAATGGCAACTTTTCCAAAAATCTGGCATAGCCGAATCTTCCCATTTACAAAAAGGCCCTAACTTGAAACATTCAGCATATAACAGAAGCAGTATCCTATTTGCAACATTCAAGTTGGTAACCCCAGCATTCAGCTGTCAATCCTTCTAATTTCAGAGTATCAGATTGCACTTTTTTTCAACAGTAAGACTGATTACTATAACCCCCACAACAAAGTACACATGCAGGAATTCCCAAGTCAATCTTAATCTGGCATTGCCATGGTCTGTCTATAAGGGTACTTTTCATGCTTTTGGATGGTCCACTTCATCCCATCGCCATATGCTGCCATCCTCGCTGCAGGCAAGGATTGTGCTGAACAAGAGAGAAAAAATGTCACACATGTCGGGGCATTGAAGACCAAACAAGGACACAAGCAGAAAACGATGCATCCACTTAATGCACAGGATCTTCACCAAAATGAATTGTGGGCAAGTAAAAGCTGGAATATGCACTTTATGAGGATTGGATATTAGAATTTAGTGAAGCACCTTCCATCAAATGACACGGCAGTCTGCCTTATCGCAGATTTGCATTGCGGATTAGTCAGCCTGTAAAAATAATGTGTTGGCATGCAGAAATACAAGATTTAGTGGCGTCCAAAACCAAGTGCATATAAAGGATGGGAAACAACTGAAGTTCTTGGAACTTACCGAGCAGTTAAAACAGGAGGACTGGACTGTACTTCCCAGACAAAGACTTTTCCTTCACGGTTGCCTGTTTAAATAAGCACATGGTTATCTTTGAGTATTCAGTGTAGTATTTGTTTAAAAATAATAATCTAAACCCAATGAGTTTAAATATGTGAATTAGTTTCTTTTTTGTCACAACATTAAGGGTGCTGGGCAACATTCCACAATTCTTTTTATTGAATGTAATCTTTTGACTTGTGAGTACTGAGTATGACCGTTTCCCACAAACAAAACATTTTCAATATTGTCACAAATTTTCCAAAGTAACAACACAATTTGGGAGATATTACCTATTGCCAATTGATTGAAGTGAAAATCGCATGAGAATTTGATAAACCAGATATCACATTCTGGCACAGGATACTTCTGAAGAATATCAATGCTACCCTACATTTGAAAAAAAAAAAGTAATTTTACTTGAGAGGGAGACGTATGGAAAGGGATAGTGAAAACTAAAGTAACATGACAGAAAACTGTTGAGATGATCAGATCAGAAGACAAGTAAAATGAATTAAGGTCTGTAGTTCTAGAGAAGTTGAATTATAACACCTCCCCGGGACTTTGTTCTTTTGTTTTTGGCTCCCACAGCACAATTTCATTGTCAACACTCTGCAAATTGAAGTTAGCATTGATGAGAATCCTACTGAAGTTTTGCATCAGTAGTATGGATGCATTATGAGCACTGTATCTCTACCAATCCATAAATCCATTCAAAGAAGATGAAGTTTGACCTTTGACAGAATGAAGTCACCAAGCCATCTAGTACAATCAACATAGTTAGAATGTACTACAGCAACCAAGACCTGGAAGCAGAGAAAGATTGGTATGATGCCACATGGATGAAATAACAAAATCTTGCAAAATAATAGTTCAAAGATGATCAAAAGATATTTAGCATACCGGAAATTGCACATATTTTGTTGGAAATTTTGATGGAAGGTCAGTCCATGTAAAGGATTGCTCAACATATGGCCAGAATTCTATGATAATATTAACTAACAGTGTCAATGATAAGCATAAAGTGAATGCAAATAAAAAAGCTATGTTGAGATGGCTTGCTAACCCTTCATTGACCATATTTTAACAGTGTTATCCATGCCACAACTTGCTATGCGGTAGATATCAGATGGGTGGAAGTCCTGCAGCAAAGCATAGTTGATCAACATTTCTCCTAATGTAATCGGACTACAAATAAAATGACTGTCATTGTGGAACCTAATTTTTATTTTATTACTGATGGAATCAACTAAAACATGTTCAGCTCAATGAAAAAGATGATATCAGAAGCTGGAAGTGTGGTTTGTAGTGAGTATTATTCTAAATAACATCATACTGGGAAATAGAATCAACTTACAACACTCAATACTTCATTCCGGTGACCTCCTGCTCCAGCAAAAATCAAAATGCAGATCCCTGTGTGAACATTCCACAGCCTAACAGATTCATCCTATGCAATGCCATGTGAAACAGAATCAGAAATAATTAAACATAGAAAGATCCAGCTCCAGAAAAGGCTATCTTCAAACCTTGCTTGCAGAAATGATGAGCGAAGGCTTTAATGCTTGAGTTCTTATCTCGTTTATTGAATCGCCATGGCCAACAAAAGTCTGAACAAATATACAGAAATAAGACATTCACCCTAAATCCCTCACACCAGTATATGACAGTAAATAATTGATATGCCCAATTTTCTGACTGTCCCACTGGAAAAGATCCACTAGGTTCTACATCTTCCACCATTCTTCTCTCCTATATAAGACTACAAAGCAAACCTTGTGGACAAAAGCCAATTCAGCAGATTAATCTCATTCATAGCCAAATGAAAGGCCATAAAATACACGCACAAGAGTCAATGAGCACAAAATAGATCTGAACTATAGTAATTTTATGCCTAAGAGTAAATTGTTGATGTGCCCTATTTTGTGGTGTTCTAAATATGTATCATAGTATTATCAAAACTTTCCACGTATAATGCATAATCAACAGATAGTGTCATATCAGCCACGTAGCAAGCAGGAGTGTACCCAAAAATTACACTTTTGTAGACCCAAAAAGAAAAACAATTCTATAGCAATGCAACTCTTAATCAACGCAAATATCAAGTGACCTTCTTAAATGGATAAGATAGACAGATCAACATTTACCAAAGAAGCAACTATTATCTGAAGCATAGCTTCAATCATGGGTATGTCGGATAACAAAAGAGCATAGATTCTCAAAAATGAATTTTCATTGAAGTTTGCCAAGAACTATAGAAGCATATGAGAATATGGCACTATCGAACCTTGAGTAACTTCTCAGTGGCACAGTTGATGACCCGAATGATCCCATTGCTTCCTGCAGCCACTAACAGCGGTGTGCCATCAAGATCACAAGCCCAACTCAGTGTGTAGAACGATTCATCCTTCTGAGAAAAGAATGCAGACCTCAAGAGTTAGAAGTGTCACACAATGTCACAATCAAAGTTTTTTTTAAAAAGAGTTAGAAGTGTCACACAATGTCACAATCAAAGTTTTTTTTTTTTTAAAAAAAAAGTAACTGCACACACTGGAGATTGTTGCGGAGCTTACATCCTCATCAATATATGCTTGCAGGATAGCAAAATTACCATCCTTGAGGCAGCTGTAGGTTGTCACCTGCAAGATCAAGAAAACACAATTGGTCACACGAGCCCACTAAAGACAACCATCTTTCATCATATTTGCCATTAAAAGAGTTTGTCTAGTATATGATTGATCCCAGAAAAACCACAATTTTCATCAAATCTGCCGAAATGTATGCCAAATCGCAGATTGTTCGATGCAAAAGGAAAATGGTAGAAACCTCAAATTCCAAGGAAATTTTACTAGCTTTTGATTTCCATCAAATGTCGAACCAAAATCTGCGTAATCTTCCCCAAATCCACAATCTTCTAAAACAAAACCCTAGTTTCTCTCTCTCTTATCATTTACTACACTTATCATTTACTATCATTCATTCACAAGAACAACTCCAAATGGCAAAGACCACCCTAAAAACAAGATGGGATGCTTAGCGCGGTTTCCACCAAATTTCAAACCAAAATCCGTTGTTCCCCCAAAATCCACAGCCTGCTAAATCAAAACCCTATTTCCTCTCTCTCTCTATATATATCATTATTCATCACTAATAAGAACAACTCTAAACGGGGAAAAGAAAAGAAAAACAAAACAAGAAGGGGATGCTTACGCGGTTGCCGCCGACGGTGGCGAAGACCTCGTAGTAGTGGAAGTCGAGGAAGTTGAATCCGATGGCGTAGAGCGGCCGCTTCCCCTCGGTGAGCTTGTTGCACGCCTTGTACTCCCTCTTCCTGCTTGGCGCCAGCAACCCCACCGCCGCCTCGCACCCCAGCCCCTGCCCCGGCCCCAGCTTCGCCATGCGCCTCTCCTCTCCCCCCCTCCCGACGACGGCCTGACCTGCCCTTGCTTCCGTCGGCGGCGGTGGCGGATTCCGGCGGCGGCGTCGTTCGGATTTTGGGCGATTTGTGAGGGGGGTTAGTAGGGCGAGCAAAAGTTCAGAGTTTGGAACCAAATTTGGAAGTTCATAACGGCTGCAGATTTTCATGGATCAGATTTGTGAGAATTTGGGACCGGTTCACACACGTCTTTTTAGCAAATCTGCATTTATTTCTCGATTTGATTTCGAGTTATCTTTGTTAGTCAGATTTGCTTGAGTTACATGGTCTCATGAGTCTGTGGTTTAGAGTTGAATGTTTTTTTTTTGTCCGGAAAATGGTTTGGAGTTGGGGACTTGGGGTGCCATCATCTCCGAATTCTCGTTTTTTATGGTTTATTTATGTGTTTACATCTCATCTAAGCCAGTGAAATTTATGGTCAGTTGTAGCTTTTAGGTTGTCGATCAATGGCTTAACGTTGTGGTTACTTGTCGATATTAAGGTTTATTGATAGAGCGATCAATTATATAGACTAGTAAAATGCCCGTGCATTGTAACGGATGAAAACAATATAATTTTAATAATTAATCTGTTACATGGTAAATCATCCATTTCAATCATTGACACTTAATAAATAATACGTGAAAATATTTAGAAATACATCAACATCATTGTTTATTAATAATATTTTTCCTTTAATAATTTTAACTTGCATTTTATTATGTTCTCACTTATATATAAATTTATATTTTTCTTTAATTTTATGTATGAATCGTACTTAAAATTTATAAAAATATTGAATTCATATTGTTTCTAACATTCTATTGTTATTAGATTGTACTTGGCATATATTATTTTGTTTTTTTATTCTAAACTATAGTTGATTTGAATTTATTAATTACCTAATTTAAATATCTATATTATTAGTCTAAATTATTTTTAAACTTAAAAATATTAAAATATTATAGATATATCACAATGTTTTAGAGACGGGAAGACAAAGTACATTCAATGGTTTCAATTTATAACCTGATAAAGAAAGAATGTTAAATTAGATTCATGCCAAGTGGCACAAATGTCTTAGAAAATTTATAACCTGATAAAGAAAAAAAGTTAAATTAGATTAATGCCAAGTGTCACAGTATGTCCTTTAGAAAATTTTGTGGAATAAAAATTACTTATAAGAATATACCTTGATAAAAAGATATTTTGTGTGACTATGGGTAGTTTGTGGTCTAGATTCTTCTTAAGAAATTTATGTGAGTTTGGATGAGTACAAATTATGTGAGCTTACATTTTTCGTTCTAAGGGTGTTTGGATGAGATTCAGTAACCAAATTACATCTGCTAAAAACGGAAATCAAAATTAACAACTTGAAAGTAGGTGGAGCTAGGCAGAGGGAGATCTAACCCTGTTTCGGTTGAACCCCCAAACTTTTTGAGGGATAACGCAGAATAACTGATGAGGTGTGGGTAGGGAGGGATGCTCACCGGCGAGCGACGATGCGGTGGAAGAAGGAGGACGCCGGGCGCCACCTCTGCTCGCAGGATGGGGATCGGCGCAAGCGGCGGGCGAGGAGACGAAATTCGAGGCCGAGGCCGAGACCGAGACCGGATGGGATGGATTAGGATGCTCACCGGTGAGCGAATGCGGCGGGAGCAGGAGGACGCCGGCGCCACCTCTGCTAGCAGGATGGAGATCGGCGCCAGCGGCAGGCGAGGAGACGGGAGTCGAGGGCGGCGGGCGAGGAGACGGGACGGATTGGGGGAGGCGGAGGTCGTGCAGCGCTCTGCTGCCGCGGTGTCGCCTGCCTATGGGTCATATGCACAGGCCCATGAGGCTGGAGTTTTTTCATCTCCCAAAAAAGTTCATCTAAGGTCCCTTTTCTTGTCGTTGAATTTTAAACGGCCTTGAACCCCTAATCTTGCAAAACGGATCACTTTTAATCCCAAGGTAGAATTGCTTTCCGGTTTTGTTGACGTGGTGGCTGAGTCAGTGTAGGGCCCCACGTGGACCCTACAAGCCAACCAGCAATCTTATTCCACCTCACTCCCCTCTACTCCCATCTCAACCCAAACCTCCAGGGCATTCGTCGATGGGTGGGGAGAAGGGTGTCGGTCGGCGGGGAAAAGCTCGACGGCGGAGGCCGCCAGCTGACGTGGCTCCCAATGACCAGGAGCGCTCACGTCATGGACTTGCGCACGTGCGGGGTGTGGCACGGGTCCCAACTACAACTGCAATGTCGTCTTCACGGGCACGCGTGAGGGCTGGGGCTTCCGCCTTGTCACGCTGGCCAAGCTCCTATCCCCCAAGCTCATAGTCGCCCCCATCGAGCTGCTCAAAAGCCGATGTGTTCACGTGTCCCCGAGCTTCGCCTCTCCTCCGCAGAGGCAAACACGCGGCTCCGCCGCATCGTCTTCGATGTCAACTCCATCTACTCCACGTTGCGGTAGCATCGTCCTCGATGCATGCGCCCTTTTCCCCAACGCTCGCCATCGCCAAGCTTTTTGTTCGTTGCTAGCCTTCTCCCCACCCATCGCCAAGCGCCGTCGTCGGGCTTCTATCTACCGCCGCCGCCCAACAACCACCACCATTCTCCCTGCTGGTCACCGGCCACCACACACCTCTCCCGCGATTCAGCGTCTGGCGTCCTCTTCGCTTGCATGCACGGGCACTCATGCAGTCAGTGGTGCTCGCGAGTATGCTCAGGCGTCGCAACGTACTCCATCTCCCAACTCTTGGAGATCCTCCCGCCAATCCCGACGGTGTGGCTGATATGCAACCATGATGCGGACGCGGCGCAGATGCGCGGCGAGCTGCCACGCAACGATGTGGTGGTGTAACCCGAGGGGACGACGTGTCGGGAGCCCTTCCTACTTCGCTTCTTCGCGCTCTTTGCCGTGTAGGTCCATGACGCAGCCGTCAGTCGCCACTCTTCTCCCCACCTGTTGCTGACTGCCCTGGAGGTTTGGGTTGAGACGGGAAGAAAGGGGAGATAGGTGGGAGAAGATTATCGGCTGGCATGTGGGACCCACATGGGTCCCACGCTGACTCAGCCACCACGTCACCAAAACCGAGGAGCAATACTGCCTTGGGACCTAACGTGACCCGGTATTGTAAGATTAGGGATTTGTTATATCTGGTATTTTAGTTCAGGGACAATTAAGAAACTCGATGACAAGATAAGGGACCTCAAGTGAACCTTTTCCTTTCATCTCTCTCATTTCTCTTTTTTTAAAAAAAAATAGCAAAGATGCTCGTGCATTGTGATAGGAAATCCAAATTACATATGTTATTTTTTTTCGTGGACGTTGGCGGAGAGTTAGATGATGGATATTTGGGGGGCTTTCTTATGAACCTGGGTGGGTCTCAGGCATGTCGTGGATGGAACATATGATAGAGATGTGGGTTTCACGTAGAGATAATCAATAGTTGAAGGTGTAATTATTTATTAGTGTGGTATAAAGATTTTATTTTTTGCTGCAAGGGCACTTATCACTATAAAAAATGATTTTCGCCTTTGGCTAAAACCTGTTCTTGCAGGCTGCTAGGTCTAAATATTTTTTTTTTGCTATAACGACGCTTATCACTATAAAAAATATTTTTTAGTATCTTTCCATATGGGCAGCACAAACCACATGCGAAAACCCTACTCCCTCCGTATTTTAATGTATGACACATATGGATGATATGGTAGCAATTTTTTAAGAAAATGAACTACTCCCTCCGTATTTTAATGTATGACGCCGTTGACTTTTTAACCAACGTTTGACCATTCATTTTATTCAAAAATTTTGTGCAAATATGAAAATATTTATGTTATGCTTAAAGAACATTTGATGATGAATCAAGTCACAATAAAATAAATGATAATTACATAATTTTTTTGAATAAGACGAATGGTCAAACGATGGATAAAAAGTCAACGGCGTCATACATTAAAATATGGAGGTAGTATTATATATGCAACTGGTGAATCCGTGAAACAAAAATAATTAGGTAAAATTTGCCACAGGACATACAAAAAAGCATGTAATCGGCTGAGAGACACCGTTAAAATGTGGCACGGCTGATAGACACTAAAAAAAACGTGTAATTGGCTATAGAACACTGGTTGCATTATTTTCTTATTTCTGGTTCAAAAGAGGTGAGATATTTTTCTAAATGCCCAGATTGCCCCTTCTCTTTCCTTCTTTAAACACCAGTGGGTCCCAAATGTCATAGACAGTGTATGTTTAATCTAATTTTTAATAGGTATTTAACCACCTGGCCCCACGCGTCATGGACTAATTTGTACCTAATTAGTAGGGTGATTACTATTTGCTAATCATAAGTGGGCCCCTGTTAACAGTGAAATTTGGTAAGCCTAAAGTCATCATCGGCTTAGAGTCATTATCGGCTACATCATTTCGGAATCGGTCGATGGAAGTTATCAAGTCACCAATAGTTGGATTCCTACTATATTCGGTTAAGGAAATCAATCTACTAAAGGAAGCTTATCCATAAACGACCGAGTTCAAAGAGGATGCGGCATGGCAATTTATCTATTAATTAGGAATAGTTTGTTAGTTTCCTTTTATCTTTAGGAAAGTGTGTTTAGTGTCCGATAAGGACTTTATGTTTTCCTTTTATCTTTTAGAAAGTTTGTTTCTTGTTCGACAAGGACTCTATAGACCCAAGGGTATAAATTGTGTACCAGGGGTCCCTGTAATTTTTATCTATCGATCAATACAACTACTCTCGGCGCATCGCCACCCTCTTTACCGAGGTTTTTACTTATCTTTCAGCGGAATTTGGGCACCTGACGCGGGGCTGCATCGGTTCAGTTCGATCTCCGGCGAAGGAGTAAGTCCTACGTTCCGTCGGGCCCTGGTGAATCTGTCATCTACGTCGGTGTCGTTCAAGGCTGCATCAGTACATTCGACCTCTTGGATTGCTCTGGTTTGGATGATATATTTGCCTACCTATTTATCATATGTCTCTATTAATCTAATCTTAGCATATTAATTTAGCTCTATCGGCTGCTTCTCGCTTTAGGGTTTCTGCCGATATCGGCTAAATCGTGTTGCTAGATTAGATTAGCTTAGGCATCTACCATCCTCAAAATCAGTCAAGGGCTTGATTGTCTAGATATTGTGTTTCTTTTCATACTTAGTGCTGCATCAGTTAAGTTTGATCTACTAAGTCGTGCTTAGAACCATAATCCCTAGCCTGCTTGTTGACTGCCAATAAGGGTTTCATCGGGGTTTCAGCCAATGAATTATCTGGACGTTGCATCGGCTTATAAGAATTGTATATATAAGTTAGATTTAGCCGATGACAACGAAGGTTTCACTGTTTAATCTAATCTTGTGGATTTTATGACATCGGACCTCCAGCCGATGTATGTTTTAACCTTCGGATCAGTGCTAATTCTACCATGTTATTATTAGCCGATTGGTTTCTATTGGATTATATTATTGTTAGTTTATTACATCATCATCAGCTGATTGCCTTTATATCATCATCTACATTGGACATATAGCCGATTGCTTAAACCCTATCGCTATCGGCTGGTATCGGAATCGGCTGGGATTGCTCCATTGGCTGTTTAGCCGATCGGCTATTTGATCTACTGTTTACAAATCTTGTCGGTTGCAGGATCAAACTGACTGACACGCCCGCATCTCACCAACCTTTGGACCTGCACAGGAGCTAAGCAGATCTCCCAGGCCGGTGTGTTCGATTTTTTTTGTCAACAGGCCCACATTGCTCTCATATCCTTCTTCTTCCTCACACACGCGGCGGAGCGGAGGAACGACGCGCGGGCAGCGCGACGGCCCGAGTGGGACGGTCGGTGTCGACGGGTTCCTCAGCGGCGGCGGCTTCAGCCTGATGCTGCGGAAGCATGGCCTCACCTCCGACCTCGTCGTCGTGCCACCATGGTGAACGCCGAGGGGGAGGCTCCTCGATAGGGCCGCCATGGGGGAGGACCTCTTCTGGGCCATCCGAGGCGGCGGCGGCAGGAACTTCTCCGCGTCGTAGTGCAGAACCAGAACGCGTAGTTCGAGTCCCTGTACCTCGGTAGTCGGCACACGCCATGGCCTCGTCGCCGCGATGGCCGACACCTTCCTGGAGCTCGGTGTGACGGCGAGCGACTGCATCGAGATGATGTGGATCTAGTCCGTGCTCTACTTCACGTTCTACGGCACGGGGAAGCCATTGGAGATGCTCCTGGACATGGACACCAGCAAGCCGGACAAGTACTTGAAGGCCAAGTCCGACTCCGTACGTCCAAGAACATGCCCAGCCAAGTCTGGGAGACCACCTGGAGCTGGCTCCTCAAGGACGGTGCTGGGCTGCTCATCCTCGACCCCTACGGTGGCGAGATGGTCCGCGTCGTGCCGGCGGTGACGCCGTTCCCGCACCGGCAGGCGCTCTACAACATCCAGTACTATGGGTTCTGGTCGAAGAGCGGGCGGCAGCGGCGGAGAAGTACATGGGCTGGATCAGAGGGCTCTACGGTAAGATGGAGCCGTACGTGTCCAAAACCCCAGGGGCGGGGCAGCAGCCATCGCCGCCATCACAGGATCTCTCGCCGTCTGCCGCTCCTGGCGCGGGGGAATATGGCTCCAGGGGCAATCTTGTCATTTTGAAAATTTTCTCACCTCTTTTGACCCGGAAATAATAAAATAATGCGACCGGTGTCCTACGGCCAATTACACATTTTTTTGTAGTGTCCATCAGCCGTGTCACGTTTTCACGGTGTCTCTCAGCTAATTACACGTTTTTTGCGTGTCCTGTAGCAAATTTTGCCAAATAATTAATAGCTAAAACTGGTTGAGTGAAAAAAATAATATGAAACGAAGGGAGTAAAGTATATTCTATGAACTGTTGGCGGTCACAAGATTTCTATACACTTGAAGACAGATTCGTGAGACCCACCAGCAAAAAATCTCTATCAGCTCAAAAGACAACTGACCGCCATGAGTCTCGTTTTTGTGATAGGGGAGGCACATGTCACTGCTTGAGGCTACATGCAGCGGGTGCGTGATGTTGTCGTGCTCGGATTGGAAACTGAATTTTTATATGTGATTGTTTCCGTTTCACGTGGGCGAAAGAGTCGGACGTTTGCGGGGGACATGGAAACGGACCAACAATTCACATGTCGGATGAAAAATTGTGTGAGACACACTATTCTACGATGCACGGCAAAAACACTATGAATGTTTTAAGTAGATAAAGATATACAACTATATACGTCGTATTTTGCAAGCAAATTTGGTAGGATTGATATATAGATACATTATAACCTACCTCTCAACATTTTTCATATTTTTTTTACCACCGTATACATATATTTCAAAGCAGTAAGCATGATTTAAACATCGTGGTTTTAAATTTCAAACAATAGTCATGAAAATTTTTAAAAATATTTTAGAGCTTTGATAATGGTGTTATGTCTGGCCCTACAAAATATCAGCTTTAGAATATGACTCGTATAAAAAGAGACGAAGAAGATAAATGCTCGAGCAAACCAATTTTAGTAGTTCAAGGGGTACAATGAGGCAAAACATATGTTAGTGGGTTAAGGGTGTGCTTTTTACTCCATCTTCCTTACTTATACTCACTTCTTTTTATACGCACGCTTTTCCGATCTGTGTATTTTATGTAAAAAAATATAAAGAAAAGTTGCTTTAAAAAATCATATTAATTTGTTATATGACCTAGTCTCAACGATTTATTATGGCGTGCCCCCACCTAAATCTCTGAACAAATCAATTTGCTGCTAGGAAACTCAGAACGTTTATTTGTTCAGAGATCATAGTAGCACCTTGCAAGTTTCAGACATTAAACACATTTTTTGTTTCAGTTTTGAGTTTAGATAAATATCTGTTAAACTTATATAGATGGTGTTTAGCTGAAATCATTTGTGATCCAAGGTGAGAGTTATATTTGCCAGCAATACCAAAATATACATGATCCTAACTAATATATATGTACTGCATATACAAAATTTTAGGTGCAATAGATGCTACTTACAAATTAGGATCTTGTATTGATCAGTTCAACAATCAAACTTCTATTTATCACTAATCAAAAGTAGGATTGTACCACACTGATCTGAAAAAATATCCGTCGCATGAACATAAGGAGGTCAATAGTGCAGATGATGCGTCAATAGTGTAGATGATGCCATCTAAGATTAGTGAGTCCTTTTTGTTCAGAAATGAGGAAGGAATCAATAAGGGAGTACTGCACTGAACAGAAACAAGATGAATTTCATGAACATAAACGGGAATATAATATTGACCAAATGTAAACCTCACTCTAATAACACAAACGGTTCCATTCATACAAAAGTTTTTATACTCACTGTTTGTATTCCGATTTAATATTGCAAGCTATCATTATGTCAGTCAATAACAAGCATCCAAACTCATGTGCTAGAAGGCTGGCAATACATAAGCATTTTTTTGGAAAATCTGAGTATATAATAAGCAATGTCAGAATTTTTTCCAGACGGTAAATTTCAGAAACATGCCCCCCTAAGGCCCTAAAAAAACCAGAAACACGGTTATCCAAGTAGATGAAATTCATATACAATATATGCCAAAATCGAAAAACATAATCCAATTGTAGAAGTTATATCATGCAGATAGTGCAATTCAGTTTATATTTCATTTATAATGGCTATGATCAAAGGATAATTCATCAGCTGAATGAAATACATAACTGAATAAAATTGTCACAAGAGAAAGGTTTTCAATACTCATCTAAATGAATGAAACCAAATCAGCGAGAGAGATTTAAAAAGAAAATACCTATGACATCCTAAATGCAGCAACCAAATTCAGTTTGAATGTTTTCATCAGTAACTTCACAACTCGGGTACTACCATAATGAGATGGTTTTGATTTTTCACAAAAAAAAGGATTCTGAAAAAAAAGGCGGGTTCATGAGATATTTGACCATATTTATTCAATAGTTGCCATCAATTCACATATATACAGTCTAAATGTCTGATCTTAAGAAAATAATATTGGTTTTGAATTAGTTCGTGAATTAGTTTCGATATCTTTAGACAACCTTGATGACCTGGACCACTTTCAGAAATATATAAATATATGAATGATCCAAATATATGTTGTAGCTAAAGGGCAGTGGCGGCCACCAGATCATGTAATGGCATGTTTACATGTAACACATAAAAATTTAAGATGTTCAATCCCAATTCAGTAATTGCTGTATGTGCAGCACAATAGTGCAATTAATTTTAGAAAAAAAAATGTTACCCTAAAAGCCATGAACACATCTATTACCCATGAACATATGCTCCATGTACTACATGATTTCTTGCAGTGTATGTGTACGAGCATTTCATCGAACAACATGAGGGTATCCGGAGATAGAGCTCAAATACAATCAGAAATTATGAAGGCCGTGATGCACGATCAAACATAAGCCAAAACAACGACATGACCTGTAATCAGGAGAAAAGGAACACATGAACATGAAGATTTCCTTTCCCATCTGAGGGTAGAGGCCGGTGATGATGAAGATGGCTGCAGCGGCGCCGTTAGTCAGCACGGGCTGCGCCTCGATCGAGCCGAGGATCCCTCACACCAACCCCGCGTTATTCCTGCTCTCGGGCGGCACGAAGCCGACGGCTAGATCTCGATGAAACGAATCAGCGATGGCGCTAGGGCGAGGCAGGGTGGCGCGGCACGACAGTCGGCGGGGGCTCGGTCACCGCGACGACGAACCCAAGGTGGGGGATCGGTGGCAATCGCGACGATGACGGCTGTGAGGGAATTCGGCGGTGGTGGTTGAAAGAGAGGGGTGGAATCAGCGGGCGTGGAGGAAGATCGCGAGCAATGTGGAACGTGGAGCGGACTGTGGGCGTTTGACGCGTAAGCAGATACAGGGGTGGGAGGTGGAGACGACCTTGCGTTGGATTTCGCATATGCAATCTAGACCGTTGCGTGAGGAACGAGAGAATGAGTGATGAGTAAAATCATTTGTTGAACTATAGGGTATAGGGTAGATGTGGCTGATAGGATGAAGACGAATCGAGATGATAACAATAAAAGGCCATGCATTATGTAGATAAAACTTAGATATGAAATGAAGGGATGTGTTGAAGAGAGTTTAAAAGGATAAAGTCATAGGTCTATAAACAACAATGGCATGTAATAAACTAATTAATATATCAAGATTATGATGGACTAGTGGTGGATTACTGGTGAATAATTTATGGAGGTATAGAGCTTGTCGTAGTGGTTGTCGTAGATTAGCCTGTCATTGGCTTCGGACTATTAATTACTAGTTAGTCATTAACTAATTGTTAAGAGAGGATAGCGCTCATCCCTAATTAGTGTCTTGAAATATTTATCATATTATAGGGTTTGCAGGAGCACTGTATAAACCTAATTAGTATCCGATTGGAATTGAGTTTGATTGACGTTGTTTTCGCTGAATCTGGTTGGATGGAAGGCAAATATTTATTTTTACACTGAAAAAAGGCATATTAAATACTCTATCCAATAATTATGTGAATTTGGTCATTTCAGTAGTACTCCCTCCATCCCAAAATAAGCTAGCATTGTACTAAAACGTGACACATCCTAGTACAACGAATCTGGATATACTGTCCAAATTTACTGTATTAGAATATATCACATCCTAATATGAGGTTGGTTTATTTTAGAACGGAGGGAGTACTCCTAGGCAAAAAGACCATCAGGAAGGGACAATCTCCGATTTCTGCAGCTAGCAGCCCAAAACCCGGCTGGTAGCCCGTCAAGAATCGTATTGCGCGAACATTCGCACCAAATGCCCGTGCGAATCTGGCATTCACATTCTAACACAACAACAAACATTCTCATTCACCTCCACCTCCACCTTCACCTCTATATTCACATCCATGGATGGATCCCACGTACTCTCTCTGTCCCATATTCCTGGCTAGATTTATTGTACTATCACATTTTATTCTATAGGTTGTTTTTTTATGTGATGGGGGGAGTAGGTCCTGAGTACTCCCAAGAATACCCATTTTTCATGAAAAAATAAATTATATATAGATATATTGTTATTTATGTATGCTTTTTTTGTCTCCTGTTCTTGAGTTTGTTCTCAAGATTGGGCCATTTTGTTATTTTATAGTGTGCTCAAATTCTCGAGATTTTTATAATATATTATTCCTATATGATTTATGTCACTATTGTAATTTAATATGTATTATCCTCCTCAACATTTGTGTTTTGTATAAAACATTTTTTTAAAGTGTGAATATCCGGCCATGAATTCCTACGTCCGTCACTGTTCACATCTATATCAAATTAACTCGACCAAATATTCCCATTCACACTATTGCGGCGCTCATTATGAATGGTTGACGAACTTGGCCAATTAATATATTGTGGCAAAATAATGATAAAGAGATATTCGATTCACTTAAGTGTACAACATACTCAGTACACATCTTTATTCATTCCAAACAAACTGCAGCTAGTGCATATTCGTGAAATTAAAGTGCTACGCGATGTATGTACGCATGCTTACCGTACTATATGCGTAGCATATGTATGCTAGATTTATTCAGTGCATGGTAACTTTAGTGTACTTGTTCATATCAATAGTGGCACGGCCGTTGGCTTCGAGTGGGAAATAGAAGGGGTAGATTTCGTAGCGTGCCCAACAGCTGCTATAGTCGATTTGGCACCCCTGCGCAGCGCCACAAGCCTTGTCAAACTTGGACACTGTCGAAGATAGGCACTGAGCACACGCAGGCGGTGCAAGGTCTCGTGTGCACTGGGCCAGCGCGTAGACGCTCACGAACGGCGTGTACTGCTCCTTCGCCCTGCCCAGACCGTTGCCACCCACCGAGACAGCCTGTGTTGTTGCTTTTACCATCGCCTTCCCCACCACCTTCTGGAACGCCTTTGGGTTGTCCATGTCCGGCCATCTCCTCAAGGTCACGCTTGCGTCCTCCCTCGTGTCCACATCCCCGATGAAGTTGTAGCTGCTGTAGTACCGCATGAAGCAGTACTCGTACCTACATGCCACAAGCACACATAAACGAAAGAAATATATTAAACAACCGGCCTGAAATCTACTAGAATGATACAGTGTCACTCATGTGTGTAGATGACATGTAGAATTAGAATCCATAGATACCAAATTCTGGAGTCTGATGTGTAGTTGCAGTTGGAGACCATCTGCTTGGCGGCTTGGGCGAGGCAGGCGTCGCAGTCGCCGCCGGAGACGTCGCCGCGGCACTGCGCGAGGCCGTAGAAGACCTCGGAGCCCCTGCCGGCCTTGGAGGTGGCGAATCCGCCGCCGGTGCGCGCCTTGGCGACGAGGTCGGAGACGACGAAGTTGACGGCGCGCCGCCTGGTGACGGCCTCGCTGCTGTTGAGATCGCCGTAGTTCATCCACGTCTCCGAGCAGAAGCTGCCGATGGGATCATACGTCGTCGCCGCCATGCCCAGTGGGAGCAAGGCAACCAATGAGACGACGGCGACCAGTACCAGCTGGCTTAATGCCGCCATGGATGGCGCCAATTATGTACTCTCACACTCTCACTTCACCTAGATTCAATTCTTGCTAGCTACTGGAGTAGTAGAGATCGATCGATGTCGATCAGCAGATGTAGGTGGCTATAGCTGGGTTGTGTGTTCGATCGGGAGCAATGGCTGGAGCTTATAAAGGCGAGGATTGGAAGGGAAGGAGAGAGAGATCGATGTGCTTGCAGTATATTGCAGGGGAACATAGTAGACAGACATAGTATCACAACCCTTGTTCTTGCTTGCAGATTTGTTTTGACTGTTCTAATGGTTTGCATGCAGTGATGATCAGATCGAGTCAGACTGTGGGCAAAGCTATTGCATTTGCACCTATGAATGAATGATACTCTTGCGGATATCACGGACTAGCTAGCTGGCTAGTGGCTAACTACCTGCTTTCTACCATTTCTTGTGGGCTTCCGGGGGGCTATGACTAGTTTTGAGGGATGAGGTGATCGATAGGTGATGGACAGGGTTTACGATTTCGGTTCGAAATTTCCGCAATTTCACCCCCTCCAACAAGCAAATGTATCGACCGAAAATTCAGTTTTTCCAAAATTTTGGTTAATTTGGTAAAAAATTATTTAAATTCAGTTTATTTTCTAAATAATTTCATGCAAAAAGTATGAAAATTCCTGAAATTTTCGGAAATTACAGTGACACCAAAATCCCGAAACTTTCGGTCTAAACCAGAGTTTTAAATCTCCCGCTCTAGTTGTTTGAGAAGGGTTCTAGCTATTTGTTCACATGTACAATTTAGTCGCTATAGCTCTATTTAGCCCGCTATAGCTGCCGCTATAGCTGTTTGAGAAGCTAACCGCTAAATGCCTTGGCCCGCTATTTAAAATATTGGTCCAAACGAAATTGAAAACCCTGGTGATGGACGGAAACCAAGCAAGCCATCATGGATTAAGTGGTCAATTCATTATTACGACATTGCTCAATCCAAACAAAACAGCACATTAGTGATGAGTGAAGATGAAAAGCTATTCGGTTGCAGGAGCACTGCATATATAGTTTGATTGAGTTTGCGTTCGCTGAATCTGGTTGGATATGAAGGGCAAATAAACTATCCAATAATTTTGCCAATTAGCAAATACTAATTGATTCATTCCTAGGCAAAAACCAGCAGGAATGTAGTCGATCTCCTGTTTCTGCAGCCAAACAGCCCAGAAACTAGTAGCCGGCCGAGAATCATATCTATATATACTTCGTATAAAGTTCATCCACTAATAATAGTTAGTACATATTTAACCTCATACAAGCATGCAATATCATGCAAAAAAAATATGGCTCCAATTTTATTAGCCTTATCTTAGGCTGCGTTCTTTTCAGATTCTCCCCACTCTCAACAGTGTTCACGGAAAACGGAGCGGTCCATTAGCACATAATTAATTAAGTATCTGTTAATTTTTTTTTTTCAAAAATGGATCAATATGATTTTTTAAGCAACTTTCGTATAGAAACTTTTCGTAAAAAAATATACCGTTTAGTAGTTTGAAAAACGTGCTAACGGAAAACGAGGAGAATCTAATCCTACTAGCCTGGAAAGAACGAGCAAGAAATTTGAAGTACTCAACTGGACGTACGGCCCCCTTTTTCTACACTGCATGGAATAGTTTGCCCATAGTCTGATCACTGCATGCAAACCACTAGAATAGTCAAAATAGTCTGCAAGCAAGAACAAGGATTTTGATACTCTGTTCCCCTGAAATGCATGCAAGCACATCGATCGATCTCACTCTCCTTCCCATCAAATTCTCGTCTTTATAAGCTCCAACCATTCTTCCCGATTAAACACACATCTCCTATAGCTCATCACATCTCTACATACAAGTGACCAGTGAGAGTAATTTGGCGCCATCCATGGCGGCATTAAGCCAGCTGGTACTAGTTACAGCCTTTTTGGCCGCTGCATTGCTCCCACTGGGCATGGCGGCGACGACGTATCCCATCGGCAGCTTCTGCTCGGAGTCCGGGATGAACTACGGCGATCTCAACAGCAGCGAGGCCGTCGTCAGGCGGCGCAGCGTCAACTTCGTCGTCTCCGACCTCGTCGCCAAGGCGCGCACCGGCGGCGGATTCGCCACCTCCAGAGCCGGCAGGGGGTACGACGCCTTCTACGGCCTCGCGCAGTGCCGCGGCGACGTCTCCGGCGGCGACTGCGACGCCTGCCTCGCTCAAGCCGCCAAGCAGATTGTCTCCAACTGCAACTACACATCAGACTCCAGAATATGGTATGCTATTATTATGGATCCTAATTCTACATGCTAGTATATTGTATCTCGATCTAGTTCCAACGGTTTGACAAGCTAATAATTGAAACTTTAACTATCTATGATTTTTATAATATTTAGTTTGAAAGCAAATATTAGAACATGATATATACATTATTCTTTAAAATTACTTTTAAAAAAATTAAAATTTTACTTTTTTTTATATTATAATATGTAAAAATCATTGTAGAAGTCGTATTAAGGACCATATTATTGTCCCAAACATTAAGAATGATGGAACATAAGAGAGTACACATGATTTCACGTCGATTGTTTAATTTTCTCCTTATTTATGTGCTTGTGCGCGCGGGTGATGTGCATATGTACTTACAGGTACGAATACTGCTTCATGCGGTACTACAACTACGACTTCATCGGGGAAGTGGATACGAGGGAGGATGCAAGCGTGACCATGATAAATTGGCAGAACATGGACAACCCCAAGGCATTCCAGAAGGCAGCGGGGAAAGCTATGGGAAAGGCGACAGCACAAGCTGTTGCAGTGGGTAGGAGTGGGCTAGGCAGGGCGAAGGAGCAGTACACGCCGTTTGTGAGTGTTTACGCGTTAGCACAGTGCACGCGAGACCTAGCGCCGCCAGCGTGCGCACGGTGCCTATCGGAGATAGTGTCCAAGTTTGACAAAACTTGCAACAGCGCTCAAGGATGCCAGATTGATTACAGCAGCTGTTGGGCGCGCTACGAGATCTACCCCTTCTACTTCCCACTCGAGGCAGGCAGTCGTGCCACTATCGACATGTCCAAGTACACCAAGGTCACCATGCACTAAATAAATCTAGCATATACATAGGCTATGCGTACAATGCGATAATGCATACATACATATATACGTCGTACCGTGTAGCAGTATATGCAGATGTGAGATCAATCCCAATAATAGTATTTATGTTTATGTTTAATTTCAGGAATATGTATGCAACGAATAAATCATATGTAAAAGGTTATATATGTATAAAGTTGTATCACCCTTATTTATCATGCTAGCTGCAGTTTGTTTGGAATAAATTAATAAAGATGTGTATTGGGCATGTTGTACAATATCAGAAACTTATGTTCTCATATTTTCTCGCAATAAATTAATTGGGCAAGTTTAGCGGCCATTCTTAATGAGCGCCACAGTAATGTGAATGTGTATGTTTGAGTTTGACATAGATGTGGATGTGAATATGGAGGTGGAGGTGGAGGTGTGGATGAAAATAATTCTATTTGGGGAGCTTAAAATTTTAAGAAACAACTGATTGGTAGCCAACTTCTGGGTTCTAGTTTATCTTCTAGATTCTACAACTACATCTTCTTCTCAGAATCTGGATCAAAAGTTGATTGTTTGAGGGAGCTTCTGATTTTGGGAGAAGCTGCAGCAGCTAGAAGCTCCCCCAAACAAGCCCAATGCTTGCACGGGGCATTGGGTACTTGGTTGCACGTTTGCACAATACGATTCTCATGGGCTACCGGGTTTTGGGCACTTGGTTGCGGAAACATGAGATTAATTGTACCTTCCTTCTATGTTTTGCCTTAGGAGTACCACTAAAATGACTAACTGGCAAAATTTTGGATAGTGCATTTGCCTTTCATCCAACCAAATTCACCGAAAACAACTTCAATAAAACTCAATTCCAATCGGATCTCGAAGGCAAGAAGGTTATACGGTACTCCTGTGCAAACCGAATAGATTTTTAGCTTTTCAACTTTATTCACTAATAGGTTGTTTTGTTTGGATAGATTGAGTACTGTAATAGGCAATTGAGCACTTAATTCTAGATGGTTAGTCTGATTTAATAAGGATAGGCTTCATCCACCCATCACCTCATCTATATGGTGGATAACAAGTCAGCTTGGCTCGCTAAGACTTGGTTCATTTGATCTTCTTATCTCGACGAGCCATCTTGACTCGGCTCATTGAGCATAATGAGCTGAAATCGTAGCTTAGCTTTGCTCGTGAGTTGACTCGTTAACTTTGTTAAGTCTAGCTTAGCTTTGTAATTTTAAATTTACTATTTTATTATATTATATGTTAACATAATAATTAAAACTAACTTATGAATAACTTACTATACATACAAATGTACAAATAGTTTGGATATAACTAGAAGTTTAAACACTCGTAAAGATGCACTAAGTATATAAAAATATGACGATCTCTTCTACTAACGAGTTAAACAAGACGATCGTGAACTGACTGATTAACTCATGAGCCTAAAAATATAGCATGGTTTGAATCATAAATCATTAGAGTTTGAGTTCAAGCCGATCGGAACTAAGCTCGTTCCACTAACTTTGAGCTTTCTTACTACCCCTAATTAACCTCATCCCTCAATAGTATGTACCCGGGGCTAGGGTGAGCCGAGGGCAAGGGGGACAGCATAAGTGAGGTGATATGCATAAGCTTAGTCAAAATATTCCTATTCTAGATGGAGCAGGCATCAACTGGTGTTGGTCCTATGGACCGTGAATGGATTTGTCTCTGGCCTCCGGGTACATCTGAACATGGATGAAAATTTCGGTTCAAAATTTTAGAAATTTTCGCCCCCCACCCCCCCCCCCCCCCCCCCGCGGTCCGGCAAATATTCAATTTTTTTCAAATATTGTGAGAATTTGATCATAATTTATTCAAATTCAGTAAAAATGTATTAATTTTTTTAAAAAATAATCGTTAGAAATATCCGAAATTTCTATTCAAAACCCTGTGGCAAAAGTAGTCCCTGAAAAGCAGGTCGGCAGCGAGCTAGTCCACGATATCCGCGACGCAAGTCTGCAAGAGTAACATTCGTGCCCACACGCTGCCAGTGCATGGACGAGCATGGCTCATGGCTGACTCGACATTAGAAACCATTAGAATAGTCAAAACAAGTCTGCAATAAGGATTATGATACTATGTCCTGTACTATTCCCTGCATCGCAAGCACATGATATCGATCTCTCTTAATTAATTTCCCATCCAATCCAGTGCGCGCGCTTGATCGATCGTCTTAATTTATAAGCTCCAACCACTGCTCCCGATTGAACCCAAGCCAGCCACACACATCTGCTCACATCTCTAGCTACTACTCCAGTAGCTGGCAAGAAGGTGAAGTGAGAGTGTGAGAAGTAATTGGAGCTAGCATCCATGGCGTCACCAAGCAGAAGATCGCACCATTGCTGCCTGGTACTAGTTGCTCTCTCGTTGGCTGCAATGTTGCTCCCAATGGCCATGGCTACTACGATATCGATGTCTCCCATTGGCACCTTCTGCTGGAATCCGAGCTACAACGAGATGAGCAGCGGCGAGGCCATCGCCAGGCGGCGCAGCATCAACTCCGTCGTCTCCGACCTCGCCGCCAAGGCGCGCGCCGGCGGCGGATTCGCCACCTCCTCCGCCGGCAGGGGCATCGACGCCTTCTACGGCCTCGCGCAGTGCCGCGGCGACGTCTCCGGCGGCGACTGCGACGCCTGCCTCGCCCAAGCCGCCAAACAGATGGTCACCAACTGCAACTATACATTAGACTCCAGAATATGGTATGCGTGTGTCATAATTCTACATGTCATATAGTCTCTTCGGTTCTATAATTTTCAACGTTTTGGATAAAATTAAGGTCAAACAATTTAAACTTTAACTATTAGTGATCTTTAAAATATTTAGTTTGAGAACACTAGAACATAATGTATAGATCGGTTTTTAAGAAGTGCTTAAATAAAATTAAAAGTTTACTTATATTTTGGGTATATTATAATAAAATAAATTATAGTTGAAAGATATGTTTTTTAGACCGTGTTATTATCCAAAACATCAAAATTGAAGGAACCGGAGAGCAAACTTGAGTGGCAAAAATTATAGATTTTACATGCTGGTTGTTTAACGTTCTTTTGTTTATGTGCTTGTGCGGGCAATGTACATATGTACTTGCAGGTATGAGTACTGCTTCATGCGGTACGTTGACTTCAACTTCTTTGGGGAGATGGACACGAGGACAGACGCAAGTGTGACCCTGAGGCAATGGCCGGATATGGACAACCCCATGGCGTTCCAGAAGGCAGTAGGAAAGGCGACGGGGAAAGCGGTAGCGCATGCTGTCACGATGGGTAGCGGTGGGCTGGGCAGAGCGAAGGAGCAGTGCACATCATTCGTGAACGTCTATGCGTTGGCACAATGCACGCGGGATCTGGCACCACCACTGTGCGCACAATGCCTGTCAACGACGGTTTCCAAGTTTGCCGAGGCCTGCGGCAGTGGGCAGGGGTGCCAGATTGACTATAGTAGCTGTTGGGTGCGCTACGAGATCTACCCGTTCTATTTTCCACTCGAGGCCAACAGGCAGGCCCCCACCGACTTGACAAAGTACACCAAGGTCACGATGCATTGAATAAATCTCGCATATATATAGGCTGCGTGTATAGTACAATACGATATTGCATACATGCAAGCATACACACGTTGTAACGCATAGCAGTATAGTTATGTTATGCGTACCTGAGATCTGTCCCGGAACAAGTATTTCTAATGATGTTTTATTTCAATAATAAATCATGTGTTGTAGGCTATATATTTATAAGCTGTATTGATTCTTAATTAGTATGCTGCTAGTTTGGAATAAATAAAGATGTGTACTGAGGTATGATGTACGCGCGTGTGAACAAATAGTTTTTTTTTTAGAAAAAAAGGTCATGCCATTGCCGACATTTATATAAAGAAGTATTTGTCTCATTTTAAGAAGAAAACGAGACCAAACTTTATATTACATTGTTAATTAGGAAAAACTATGTGAAAACCACAACTATTGTACCAAACAGAAAATGGCAAATCTTAACTACAAGGCTATGAAAAACAGAAAAGCCAGGTTCAACAAATGCTATTCACCACAAACCTTGCAAAATGAAGTAGCAAGTTGGAAGATTAAACAAGGCTCCTCGCAAAGGCAGATACGCAACGTTATTGTCATCACACCATCACAGGCGACTCCAACTTCGCTAGGAAACGCTAAGGCCAGGAAAGGCTTGCCGACCAACAAGCTTGCATTGCTACCCCACACTAGAGCGAAAACTCAAAGGGCGAGGTCCTACTTGGGTCATCATTGCCAAATTCGCACCTGCACAGCAGCTCCAACTTCCGATTTATATTGTTGCCAAACTCATCAACCACCTCGACGCAGCAGCTCCGACTTCTCAAAGGCCGTCCATAACAAAGTGGAGCATGATTATGAAATTGCCAAGGATTAATATGCCTTCAGGAGGCACGACGTCAAGCTATACGCCACCATCATCTTGGGCTAGGTTTACACCCACAAAATCCAAACACGGCATGACGAGGAGACAAAAAGGACGCCTCCAACGAGTAAACGACGATGCCCGTAGCGTCCATGCTTTCGCCTTGGCCTCCACCAATGTGCTGTGAGGACAGTTCCACCACCGATGTTGCGCCCGCTCTCAAGTGTGCAAGCAAGCACTTTTAACCACATCGTGCCAAGTTGTCCTTCTATCCTAAATTGTAGCCACCATCGTCCCCTAAGAAATGGAGCCGCCATTACCACCGGTTCGCCAGCAGGTCATGGGGAACCTCGCGGCTCCCATTGCTGACCAGCACGACAAAAGCCCCATCACCATCATCGTCCTCCAAACGCCATTGCCGACATCTCACCAAAAGAGCTCCCCACAATCGAAAGGAGTCGACCATAGCCGGGGAGGTGTTTCCTGGAGAAGGAGATGGAAATGGCTAGCTAGCAAGAACGAACTGACTCCGGAAGCTCACATATTTGCCACGGCATTGCTACTAGCCCCCGCTGTCGGTAGGGGTGGGCAGAAAAAGACCGAACCGAAAAGACCGAGATCGAGACCAAGAAATTCGGTCATCAATTCGGTCCTAGGCAGTGAAAGACCGAATTTTGTTCAGTTAATTCGGTTAGTCTCCTCGGGTAACCGAATAGACTGAATTATCAAAAAAAATATCTAAATACAACCTACAATCCACTATGTTTAATAGGATTAAACTCTAATTTTCACATCCCTACTTCTTCTAGGCATGAAACCTAATAAGAGTCTTTACTCATAAGTGCTTACGATTTTTTTTTTGTGATTTTTGTGTTGAAAATTTCTATTATTTCTTTTCATATATGAAAATGTTGTTGAATTTCGGTCAGGACCGAGACCGAGACCGAAAAGACTGAGACCGAATTTGTCGGTCCTGACATTTTTTCGCTGAAATTCAGTCTTCACTTTTCAAAGACCAAAAGACCGAAGACCGAGACCGAAATTTTCGGTTAGACCGAATGCCCATCCCTAGCTGTCGGTGCGGGCGGTAAGCGCTCACCGTCGTCCTCACTAACCTCCACAATCGCAACCGCGCCACGCCATGCCCGCGGCCGCCCTCCTGCCGCCACCGGCCAGACGCACCGCTCCACGCCATGCCCGCGGCCTCCCTCCTATCGCTGTTGGCCGTGCCGACCGCGACCTCGCCCGTGATCGGCCTCTTGCTGCCGTTAGCCAGTGCCCGAGGCCGACATCCTGCAGCTGCCAGCCGCGACACACCTCCTACTCGACCTCGGCTAGATCCGGCCACTACCGCATTGCATAACCAGATCCGGCCGTGAAGGCCCAATCCAGTCGTGAAGCGCCGCCCCTTGCCATGTGGCTGCAGCGAGAGGTTAAATTTAACTTCTACAAGTTGCAATGAAAAAAAAAACAAATTTGAGTACAAGTTAGCAATAGTTTAATTTGTTTTTTCGTTGCAACTTGTAAAAGTTAAATTTTAACTATGTTTGTGGAGTGATTTATCACATATTAATCTATCTTGTTTTATTTTTTTCATAATTATTTGGATGACATGTAAACAACGAGGGGATGTCTCGTCGAGAGTTAGAATCCACTCCCTTGAACAACTAGCATTTCACGCGATTGAACCCATCACGCTTAATTATGCATTCGTTTTCAAAAGGAATATTTGGTATATAATCATCTAAACACCAGGGAAATTTCCACAGAAATAGCAGACTTTCTACTTGATCAGAATACATTATGTATATAGATAGTAAATGTTTCACTCAAAAACTTTGTGTAAGCAGTAAACTTCCCACCTAGATAATTTATGAATAATAAAGAAACTTTCTACTTACAAACTTTGCAAAGGACTTTAAGAAAAAAAACTTCTATTATAATACATTTTATAGATGTTTTACATTGAATTGAAAAAACAAGTTAGAAAGGAAAAAGAAATATTCTATGCACTTTCTGTTTACTGGGCCTAAATTGGCAATTGAAATAGGCCCAATATGCAAGCGCAGGATTCGTGCAAGCTGAGTGTACGGATGCATGTATATCATTTAGGAGATAAATCATCATTAGCGTTAGACAAAAACGGTATGGCGCCAAATTCGCACGAGGTTTGGAATTGGATCGATGCACGTGTTCGCAATTAGATTCTCTTTTTTTTTTTGCGGGGGCAATTAGATTCTCGATCGGTGGGCTACTGGGTTTTGGGCTGTTTGGCTGCAGAAACAGGAGACTATATACAGTGGATTTTGCCTAAGAATCAACTAGTATTTGCAAATTGGCAAAATCATTGGATAGTGTATTTGCTTTTCATCCAACCAGATTCAGCGAAAACAAACTCAATCAAACTATACAGTGTCCTGCAACGCTGCAACCGAATAGTTTTTCAGCTTTTTCATCTTCACTCATCACTAATATATATATATATATATGGGCTCTTCAGTGAAGTGAGAGTATAACTCAACTGGTTAGATTTCTTATGCTGGAACTAAGCTATCTGGATTCAAATTCTCGATTTGACGTGGGTGCTCGCACTTACAGCTAATTATTCTTTCAGTATAGACGATTAACCCGTCGACAACAATAGCTAGTTTTTTAGAGCATGTGCGTGTGTATCTTTATAAGGGTGAGCGTGCGAACTAATTGTGAGTGCTTACATTTATGTTGTGTTTCTCAATATATATGGGCTGTTTAGTTTTGGATTGATTGAGCAATGTAATATAAGTAAATTGACCACTTAATCCTAAATATATGCATGGTTTGTTTGGTTGAAGAAGAGTGAAGAGACATGATAGGTTTATCCAATCCATCACCTCATCCCTCAAAAGTCAAAACTAGTGACAGCCAGCCCACAAGAAATGGTACTAGCAAGCAAGCAGGCAGCCAGCAGCCAGCTCAGCCAGCTAGCTTAGCTAGTCCGCGATATCTGCAAGAGTGTCATCCGTACGTGCAATAATATAGCTTCGCGCCCACAGTTCTAATCACTGCATGTCTGCATGCAAACCTTTAGAACAGTAGTAGTCAAAAACAAGTTTGCAAACAATTAGAACAAGGATTTTGAAACCTGTTCGCCTGCAGTTAACATACTGCAACTCTGCAAGCACATTGATCAATCGATCAATCCCTCCTTCCCCATCCAATCCTCCCTCTATATAAACTCCAACCATTCGATCCCAATCAAACACAAGCTAAAGCCATCCTCCTCTACTGAAATCTCTAGCTACTACTACTGCTACTCCAGTAGCAACAAGAGGCTGAATTGAGAGCAATTGGCGCCATCCATGGCGGCATTAAGCCAGCTGCTACTTACAGTCTTCTTGGCCGCTGCATTGCTCCCACTGGCCATGGCGGCGACGACGACGACGTATCCCATCGGCAGCTTCTGCTGGGAGCCGGGGATGAACTACGGCGATCTCAACGGCAGCGATGCCGTCGTCAGGCGGCGGAGCATCAACTTCGTCGTCTCCGACCTTGTCGCCAAGGCGCGCACCGGCGGCGGATTCGCCACCTCCAAGGCCGGCAGGGGGTACGACGCCTTCTACGGCCTCGCGCAGTGCCGCGGCGACGTCTCCGGCGGCGACTGCGACGCCTGCCTCGCCCAAGCCGCCAAGCAGATGGTCTCCTACTGCAACTATACATCAGACTCCAGGCTATGGTACACATGTATACTCTGTGGATCCTAATTCTGCATGTTATGTAATCTCTTCGGTTACATAATTCTTAACATTTGAAAACAGTTTAAACTTTGACCGTCATTCTTTTCAAAATATTTAGTTTAATTTGAGAATGCTAGCTAGAACGCAACACATAGATTAGTCTTAGAAAATACTTTAATAATATTAAAATTTTACTTATTTGTGTGTACTGACTTCGTTTTAAAATATAAATATTTTTAGCTATAAGTTGGGATAAGTTTTGTTTAGATTTATAAGTAAAAGTTGTTATATTTTAGGATGGAGATAATATGCTATAATAAAAATCATAGCTAAACATATGTTTTTGAGACCGTGTTATTATCCAAAGCGACAAAATAATGGAACCAGAGAGTACACATGGGTGATAAATTATAGATTTCACATTGGTTGTTTAATTTTCTAGTTGTTTATGTACTTATGCGGGATGTATATATGTACATGTAGGTATGAGTATTGCTTCATGCGGTACGACAACTATAACTTTCTTGGGGAGGTGGACACGAGGGAGGATGCAAGCGTGACAATGAGACAATGGCCGGACATGGACAACCCCAAGGCTTTCCAGAAAGCAGCGGGGAAGGCAATGGGAAAAGCAACAGCGCAAGCCGTTGCGGTGGGCAGCAGCGGGCTAGGTAGGGCGAAGGAGCAATACACCCCATTCGTGAGTGTCTACGCATTGGCGCAGTGCACACGAGACTTATCGCCGCCGTCGTGCGCGCAATGCCTGTCGGCAGCAGTGTCCAAGTTTGATAAGGCCTGTGGTAGCGGACCAGGGTGCCAGATCGACTATAGCAGCTGCTGGGCGCGTTACGAGATCTACCCCTTCTACTTCCCCCTTGCTGCTGCCGGTCGCGCCACCATCGATATGACCAAATACACTAAGGTCACCGTGCATTGATAAGAATATAAGATCATTGTGAGACCTCCTCAAATAAGTACTTGTGTTGACGTTTAATTTCAGTAATATGATAAATTTGTATCGATCCTTAGCATGCTAGCTTCAGCTAGCTTGGAATAAATAAACAAATAAAGATGTGTACTGAGGGCACGTTGTATGAGCAAGTGAATTGAATAGTATTGAAATCCTTTGTTACTATACAATTATCTCCCACTAATTTACGTTAACTATTTTCTAACTCTTTGATTGAGCGGTACTATATTACCTAGTGTTATTACTTGTACAGTTATACCCCAACTAGGATATTTGGGGTATTTAACTAATTGCTATTTATAAGATGTGTTAATTAAGAATTTATCGCTAGTAGTCTACAACATCTGAACCCTTGTGTTTATATGATATATGGTTCGGTGGAAAATCCTTAATTATAATATCTCTGTATTTTGGTTTGACAGCAACGAACTTCATGGGCTTCACCGGCAGTGACTCTTGAGGCCTGTACGTGGTCCAGTTGAGTATATTTGGCAGGAATAAGTTCATCTAAGGTCCCTTAACTTATCAACGAATCCGATTTTCATCCTTCAATCACAAAACCAGATACAACGAGTCTCTCAACTATCAAAACCGGTGCGAATTAGGTCCCTCGGCAGTTTCGATAGCAGTTTTGACTGACGTGGCGCCTACGTGGCTAATTTGACTCGGTCTCGATCTGACGTGGCACTGACGTGGCGCTTACGTGGTAATTCAATTCGGAAAATTAATAAACCCTGTGGGACCCACATGTCAGTTTCACACACAAGTTAATAAAAAATGGCGGGGCCCTGGGCCCCACATGTCATTTCACCCCTCTTCTTCCTCCTCTCTCTCCCCATCTCCCATCTCTTCATCTCTCTCCCCTTTCCTCTCTCGCTTCGGCGCTCGCGCCGCTCTCCTCATCCCTAGGCCTCTCCGACCGCCTCCTCGCCACCCGCCATGAGCTCCACGAGCGGCAGGAGCACCTCACCGCTGCCTCCTCATAGCCGACCTCACCGCTCGACTTCGTGCTGCCCGCGCCTCACCCGTCCCCCTCGCCGCCGCTGCCGAGCTCAAGCCTCTCTTGGTGGATCCCAAGGGATCTGGATCTAGTCAGGACGAACCCGACACGGTTCATGATGAGTGTCACGCCCCGAACTAGTCCCGACCGGAACTAGCCCGTGACGCTCCAAATTAACCTGTTAATCGATACCAGTCCCAGGAAACAGTGCTGGTATCACAGGGAGACAGAATATCACAGCAACAAAGGTCTCTTTATTATAGAGTAGATGTACAGTCATGTTGGGCTGCGGACAGATCCCGAGCTCACAACTGCACTACAAAAGGGAAACGGAAGCTAGGAGTTGGACCAAACGACACAGGCGCGACTTGGGAACTAGGCCGAAACCCTAAAACTCATCGTAGCCGGCTTGCTCCTGGAAGACCTCCTCATCAGCAGGATCCGCTTCATCTTCTTCAGCAACTGGGGGGGATTATTTATATAGAGCAAGGGTGAGTACGGGAGTACTCAGCAAGCCATGGGAAATAAGTGTTTAATGCAGGCTTCAAAGAAAGGCTGTTGTTTTAGCAATTGATTTTATTTGAACCCTTTTCTGAAAACAACTAAGTGAGTGCTTCTCAAACGACACGGATGAGACAGTGCGTCTTGTCCGGTCGGAGTATGTGCAATGTATCAGTCTTTAGAATTGAAACAAGGTTGGCACCCGGCCAACAGCTTTTCAAACGGCCACCCGGGCCAACAACTTTCAAACGGCCACCCGGGCCTAGCTGATCCCATCAGCTGCAGATTTTTCAATCATCGAACCCCTTTCCACAACAGCAATTTCACAAGCAGTAGTCAAACAAAACTACGCTAGGAACCACCTCACATCCGCCCATGACCGTGGGCACGGTTGTTCGAACAGTTTGTTAACCTCTGCAGAGGGGGTACACTTTACCCACACGACATTACTAACCCGGATCACCCAGCCCGTGGGGATCAGCCACATCGGGAGACCTCCAAGCTTTCATGACAAGGCATTTCCAAAGCCGACACAGGTTTACCATATGCCGACGAGAGGAGTCCCAGACCAACAACAGGTTAGGTCCCAGACCATACTGTGCCAGGAAGCCCAGGGGTCCTCCCCGACACCACCCCGGCGAATCCACATGTCTCTCGGCATCAAGGCTCCCCTGATAAGCTAGTTACTCAGCCAGGGGTGTCCCATTCCACCCATGTGGTCGTACTTGTCTTATGTTTGGATGAAATTCCAAGGAATCGGTCCTTAAGTGCGAGAGCGGGAAACCGTACACCCGGTACGTTCCCCGGTCCGCGGTTTTGGAAATCCATTTAGTTCGCAAGCACCGACCCAGGTGTCGGGTTTTCCAAGTCTTTTGTAAAACCCAATTTTTACCCAAGAAATTTTTTTCAGATTTTAAGTTTGAAGGCAACCGTCGATACTCGCACAGGGTGCACGAATATCGAGGCGCAATCTAGATGGTTACAAGGGGACATGATATATCAATTAACATAGGAAGGATCAAATGCAACAAACTAGGTAGGTCCGCCAATCTGCCTTGCAGACGGGACTTAACAGATTAAGTGCGGTCCTATCAATGCATAATATTTTGCAAGCAATATAATTAAATTTCAAATATAGGCTCAAGATGTTCAAAGGTGGCTTGCCTTGCTCGAGATCTGGAACTTGATCCTCGAAATCCTCGCACTGCGGGTCTTCGGGCTCCGAAACTACACGCGAAACGGGACAACTCAACAAACGGCGAAAATAAGGCCCTATTAATGACCTCTAAGCATGCCATTAGATAGATCTAGAGATTTGAGGAATTTTGGAAGTTGAACGGAGTCAAACGGATTTACGGTTGGGAAGATATTGAATTTCTAAGATTATTGGATTTTTTGTCTAAAGGAAAAGGATTTAATTAAATCCTTTTTGAAAAAGAAAAGAAAGAGGGAGGAGAAGTAGACTTCTCTCGGGCGGCTAGGGCGCGGCCCGAGAGAAAAAGCGCGGCTCGGCCGAGCTAATGGGCCGGCCGGCCCAAAAGGATTCGGCCCAGTAGGGCGCGCGGGAGGAGAGGAGAGAGGGAGCCGGTGGACCGGGCTCACCGTGCGCGGTCCCGTGTGGGACCCGCTTGTCAGCGGCTCGGCTCACCGTGCGGAGGGAGCACGCGGCTCACGCGCGCGGGCGGGGGAGGGACGCAGTGCACGCGCGCGGTTCGCGGAGGAACGGATGCGGCGGGCCCACGCGCAGCCTCACGGCTCACCGCGGACCATGCGTACGGGGGAAAAACGGAGGGAGCTGCTGGCCGGGTCGGATGATCCGGTCGCGGCCGAGGTGGCGCCGACGTGGCGTCTACGTGGCAGCCATGCGGGCCGGCGGGAGGTAGACGACGACGCCGGCCGGAACGGACGGCGGACGACAGCGGCGAGCGGCGGAGCGAACCACGGCGATACCGGCGAAAGCGAGCACACCGGGATGACGAGGAAGAAGGAGAGGGAGCGAGCCAACGGCTTGGATTCGCCGGAGGGAGCCCGTCTACGGCGGATTTCGGCGGCGGCAACCGGCGGAGAGCAAAGGGGGAAATGGCGACGAGGCCACGAGGGACCAACTCCCGGCGGTGAGAGCATCTACGCGGCTACGGGAATCCGTTGCTAGCGTCGGATTGGGCGGAGCTACGCCGAGCGAGGCCGGCGACGAGCGGGTGCTACAGAGCTCGGGTGGCGACGGCGGCGAGCACACGGCGAGCGACGGCAACGGTCGGGGCGGCGCCGGCTAGCTACGGGGAGGCTACTTGTGCTACTACCGAAAACTAAGGGGGAGAGATGGAGCGAGGAGGAAGAACGGAGGGAGGCACTACCGAGATGAGGAGGGGCGCTGTGACGAGAGGCCGACGGCGCGGGAGTGATCTCTCCGGCCTCGGGCCGGGGAAGAGGAGGAAGACGAGCGCCCGGAGTCCCCTTCCGCGTCCTCGAACGCACCGGCTCTCCCGGCGCTTGGTGAAGAACGGCGGAGGCGAGACAGAGCTCGGAAGGCGGCGGCAATGGCGCGGACGAGAAACGGGGAGGAATGGGGGGGAAAGGGGAAGGGAGGGCACCCGGGGCTTTAAGGGCGGCAATGTCGGTTTGGAAACCGTCTTTGGGCGGTCAAGGCGCGAGCTGGCGCTCCGCGGTCGCGGCCAAAGCGGCGACAGGGAGGAGGGAGGAGGATGACGCCGGCGGGGAGAAAAAGGGGAAAAGAAGGAGAGAAAAGGGGGCTTGTCCCCTTACCTCTTCGGGAAAAGGAGGAGGGAGCGGGTGCGTCGCGGCAGAGGGAGGAGGGGGCTCTGCCTCCGTCCCTTGGCGGCTTGCGTGCGGAGTGGCGGGGGCCGGGCGATGACGACGGCGGTGACGGCGGGGCGGTTTGGAGCGGCGCGACGACACGGGCGACAGGCGCGGGCTGGCGCGGCAGAGGGTGACGGCGGCGGCGACCAGGCGGTCAGCCACTCGGCACGCGCGCGCGGGAAACAACGGGCGGCGCGGCTGGGCACGCGCGCTGGCTCGCGGGGCCGAGCGGCTGCGCGGCTGCAGGCGCGGCAGGGCAGCGGGGCCGGGCGGCGCAGACGCGACGCGGGCGAGGACCACGCGGGCGCGCGCGCGAACGACGCGCGGGGAGCGGCAGCGAAGGGGCGGAAAGGAGGGCTCGGCTCGGTGCGGGCGGCTCTCGCACTCGCGCGCGGGGCGCGCGGGCGGAGCGGAGGGGGAAGCGGGGGAGAGAGAGAAAGGGAGGGAGAAAGCGGGAGCGCGTCGGGGGAGGGGAGGGGGAGATGGGCCGAGCGAGATTCGGCCCATCGACCTCGGGGGAGGCAAAATAGACTTTTGCGGAGAAATTTGATTTGGATGGATTTGGATTCGGAATTGAACTCGACGATAGATCGGGGATTGAGATCTTGAGATGGCACGGACACTAGACCACAAGCAAGGAAATAAATTTCGCAATTAGGGTTTTTAAGAGATAATTTTTCCACTAGGCGCCACGACAGAACGGGCGCTACAATGAGCAAAGGCGGCTGCGCCGTCGCTGGTCCATCACCAGCTTCTCGCTGTCCACGCTGACCAACTCGCTCATCGTCGGCGTGCCCATGGCGCGCGCCATGTACGGCGAGTGGGCACAGCAGCTCGTCGTTGTCAGCTCTG